CACGTTTTTGTATAATTGTGTTTATTGCAAAAATTGGATCCATTGTACTAGTTCCTGGTAGAGCTACCCAATTGTGTTTTGAGAGTATTTCGTATCATGTTAGTATATTGGACAGCCTATTGACCAGTCCTTTAGTAAATATCTTCTTGACTGATTCCAGAAGGGTGATGGGTCTAACTTTGGTGAGGTCATTGCCTCAATCATATGTCTTCAAAATTGGGTATATTGTTCCTTCTTTCCACACAGAGGACATTTTTCCTTCCTGGAGGATTGTATTGAAGATCACCTTCAGGTTTTCAATTGCCTTGGGCCAAGATGATATAATGCTATATATAGAATCTGTGAAGAGCCTAGAGTTGAGATTTTGCTTGCCTTGGATATAATATCTATTGTTTCAAGAGCAGAGAAATCCTTGATGACTTCTTTATACTATCCTGCATTGATTTGTTGTAAGGGTTTGTATTCATCCAGCCATTCCTGTGGTGATCCCTTGGTATGGGAGCTTGGTCCACTCCTCTAAGTAACTATGTATCTATGATTTAATTTCCTTTTTGTCTAGGATGATATCTGATTCATCATCTCTTATTATCAGCTTATTGATTTTGATTTTTCGTCTCTCTTTTTTAAGGAAACTGTTTATTATCTTTTTCTTATCTGTAGCAAACCATTTGAAACAGTTATTGATAGCTTTTTTGATCCTCTCACTGTTTATATTGCAATGGTATTTGTATGAGATAAGCTTGATGTTCTTTACTTTCTCGATCACTCTAACTCTGATTGTTTCAAAATCCCCTAAGCTTTCTAACTCTTCTAGGAGTTCAATGCCAGTGCTCAATGCCAGGTTTTTAATTCTTTCTTTGGTTTTCTCATATAGGTTGTTATTTGTTGCTTCTGCTAGAAGCTTCTTGAGTTGACAAAGTCTGATTATTTTAGTCGATGGAGTCTTGGTACATATCTCTTGTTTGTTCAGTATCTTGACCTGCATCTTTTTGAAGTTCTATATATACAAGCTTGTTGCTTTGAGAATTATGTTTCTTAGTTTGCACCAAAGCTGTCAGCTCTTATTTCGGACTCAAATGGTATTTGATGAGCTTCCACCTTCTCTTCTATGTATCTGATCCATTTTTTTCATCATGCTAGATCCATGCCTAACCAGTTGTATCTAGTATTGGGTGTCTTCAGAATGTTTTTTTTTTCTTAGACAAAGGAAAAAAGACATGTATTTTGGCAAGTGCAATTCCATGGTCATTCTTATACATCTGCTTGTATTTATTTATGATTTCCACTGAGAGGAGTTCTACATATTCATTTTGTGTTGTCCATATCTGATCAATTCTACTTGCTGATTCTGTCTCTACCTTCCAGGTGTATTTCCTTTTTTGTGGATTCATTGTTCTGAATATGTCTAACATGTCTCAATTCTTGAAATCATTGATAAAGATACTGTTTGATGACATTCTACTCTCGAAATGATGGTGTTTACTTGAGAATCTGTTCATGCAGGATATATTTATATCATTCAGGTCTCCTGCCACTATACTGTAGTTTCCCAGTTTACTTTGTAGATTGAATTAAGCCATCTTATTACTTTCTTTTCAAAACAAGATTTGTCAGAATGTTTTGCTGCAAGTACAGACCTATGACTCATAAGTATTTTTTGTATGGAAAAGCCAGGTTCAATATAATAGCTCTTCCTTCTATTGTTTCTTTGTTCACTATTCTTTTTGCCAAGTTGTATCTGAGGGCTATCCCAATATCTATATCTTGTTTTCAGTCCATATTGATCCAGTGGCACTCGTACTCTTCAGTTTTCTAGTGTTTTATTGCACGATCACTCCATTTGTTTCTGAGTTAATCATGATATCCCATTTCATATTCCACTATAATTCCATCCAAATTATTCTATTTGATTTTTTGCTGAGCCCTCTCATATTGGAAGTTGCAATTTTTAATGTAATGCCTGTTTCTGTTTGATTAATTAAATTTCTACTGGTTTGTATTTCTTCTTTGTCTTTATTTTTTATTGTGTTTCTTTCTTTTAATATATTACCTATAAGATTAATATTAGTATTAATATTGGTGTTGATCACCTGTCAAAGCTCCAATAGTCTCTAATGCCCTTTGCATATTGGCTTATACATTATTCATCATTTTGTTAATTTGATATTGTCTTTCTTGAATGTTCATCTTGTCCTATAGTTGGATTGAGATTTCGGGATCACTCAAATTTCTTCTAGATTGTTTATCCTTCTTTGTATCCTTGCTGTTGAAATATTGTTTCATCTTATCATAATATTCTTGATTGTATACTTCAATGTTTGTGACTTGTTTATCAAGGTCAACTACTATCTCCTTGAGGCTTGCAACCTCTCTTTGTAATATCAAGAGCAAACCTGAAACTTCTCTGATATCTTGGGATTGTTGCGTGTGTCTCTGCTGACCCTGGGTAAAGATGGGTCCCTAAAGGGGAAGACAGAAACAAAAGTCAAATATTCCTTACTAGGAAACATTAAAATTTTTAAATTAATAACTATAAAAAAACTATTCACAATTGTTCTTCATTATTCAAATTATTGATTTATAATATTTCTTAACTTTTGTCCCTATTAAAGTGAAGAGCTATAAATTTTATCCCTCAAAAAGGAACATAAGTAATCTGCGAAATTTTATATACTAAATACTTTAGGGACTCATCATTAAGTACAGCATGGATACAAATTGGAGAAGTAGAAAAGAAAAGCAAGTTCCAAGCAGGAGTAGCTAATTGACCTTCATTCATAAGAGCAGAACTAGTAGTAATAGTTACTATATTATTAGTAGTATCAGTTAATAGTAAGGTCAAAATTCATACTGACAGTCAAGCCTACATTTCCAAATGGAAAACTATAAAAAGAAGGATCCCAAAAAAATCTACAAAAGATGATTAAAGAAATAAAATTAGTTCTTATAAATACGAATGTTAAGCTTGATAAAGAAAAAAGAATTAGATCTAAATCTTATCAAAGTTAAAGTACATTTTAATATTCAATATAATAAGGAAGTAGATATTCTAGGCAAAGAAGCATTAAAGTTTCCAACAATAGAATAGTCAGATCTGGATTTACCCAAGAATATTATCAAAATCAAATGACAAGATACAGTATAGTGCTAGATGCTTCAATAAGGTAGTTTATTAAAAAACCTAAATTCAAAATCAATGATGTACCAATAGACAACCCAAAATAGAATAAATAAAAGGTAGGATTATCAAATCCAAGATCAGCATAGGTACACATAGGACCTAATTTGGAACAAATAAATAATGGGTATACATGAAATACTTTTTTCAAAGAATCACAAAAAAAAAAAACTTTCTTATTAAGATAATCAGTAACAAGTTACCTATATTAACAAAGCTAGTCACAAGAAGATGAGACTTATATAAGCAAGTAAAATATCTCACATGTGGATAGCAAGAAGAGACAATGGAATATTTGTTAGAATGTCTAGTATACAAAACTCAATAGCAAGAAACCTAATAGAAAGGTATGAAAATATGATGTAAGGTTTCAACAAATTCCTGGCAAATAGGAAAAAGGAATTAGAAGAAAAAAAAAATAAGCCTGATAGTTGATAACAGAATGGAAAGAGAAAAAATGAATAAGAAAATAGCTCAACTAGTGGAAAGGATCTCAAATATTGATCAGGATATACTTAGTTTTTACATGGAACTGATTGAAAAAAACCTAATAAATGAAATAATAGACTCGAAGTGTTATAGAAAGAGAATTAGTAAAGAAGCAAGAAAGTAGATAATAAAGATATAGAAGAAACATATAATTATTTCAGAAAGAAAATTTGAAATATCAGATGTAAGAAAGTGATAGAGTAGGAATGGATATTGGAAATCAATAGAGGTAATAAGATTAAAAGGCCAATATATCTATAGAGGCAAAAAAACAAGACCAAGGTACCAGGAAATTGATCATATCAAGTACTATTAAAGGAAAAAAAATTAGAAAATATGATGCTAAAACAGGTTCTGTAAGATGAAATAAAATATGGGATGAAATGATTGGATTTTAATCTCTGTTAAAACTCAAAAAAGTAATTTGCAGTAGTAATCTGCAAGCAATGATATTAGAAGTTGAAAGAGTATTTATCTGAACTTCTAATAGAGCGATAAATTACTCCTGAAATTGCACTTAGAAAGGTAAACCAATCAAGATAAGTAAGTTAGTTAAAGAATTAGCTTTAGTATCTCATGTTATATGTACAGCTTACAAATGTTTAATAAAGTATATGTAATTAGCCTAACAAAGGGTCAATAATAATAATAATAATAATATATAAAACTTTAAAAACCTTATGGTATCTTTAAAGCTTTTAATAAATCATTTGATCAAGATTCAAATTATTAGCAGGATATCCAAAATCATTTACAAAAAAAAATTTTTTTTTTTAAAAAAAATCACATACTATTAATACTGGTTTACAGTATATGTAGAAACCAAAATATCCAATTTATATAGTATTAATTAGTATTTAGTATTAAAAAGATTTCATAATTAAACTTTTTCCTCGTCTAACCTTATACTATATAACTTGATAGAAAAAGGCATGACATATAAAATGGTATTTTAATTTACGTGGTACCAATCAAGCCTTATTTTACATTTTCTTCTCTTCCAATACAATTTCTATATGGGTTGATGATATATGGTAATAATATTGTCATGGCAATTGCCGTACTATGCACACTTTTATATATGGTGCACTGTTACAATTTCCTGGTAAGTATAAGAAAAAAAAAGAAGAATAAATAGGATTAATTTCACGGACGACACTAATGAAGGGTGATTATATGATTATAGGACTTTTTTTTTCCTCTCCTTTAATGATCGAATGCCTCTGAGGTTCGGTAATGTTTTAAGTTAGTCTTGTCGATTAAATGTGAAATCGATAAACCCAATGTTAATGAAAAATTACCATATGCACGATAAATTGTTTTTGTTTATTACATGGCAAAGAGGTACGCACGTACGATCGTACCCCGCGGAGAACTAACATAATAACATGTGTGCATGTAATGCATAGTATATCGGAGAAAGAAATTTACGGCGTTATTCCTTCATGACCAACTTTCTTAGAAATGTTTTGCCTTCGCCTGACGATCTAATCATCCTCCTTCGTGCAATACCTAGTTTAAAATAAAAGGAAAACGTTCTCCGGTTCATTAAAGCGTAGTATCCACGTATAAAGGAATTCATTCGCGGAACCCGCACCACCGACCGTGAATTTTTGCAAGCAAGTGCACCAATTAAAAAAAAGAACGATAGATTACATAATGAATTCCTTCTCAAAATTTAGGTTGTTTTTGTCACACGGTGTATTCTTGTAATCATGTACGTAGCATTAGAATTTTTATTAATTAATAAATAGTATTAATTTTTCTTTTCTTTTTTTTTTTCGCGTTGTTTCAAATGTGCTACGTTTCTCGGGTGCATCCTCGATTAAAGTTTTTTTTGCGCACTGTCCATGTAAACCGTCAAGAGATGGGCGAAAACAAGCTATCCGCTAAACAAATCGTACTGCCCGTTGGCGGTGGAAATTCGTGGACACCTTAAAAAGGTCGCACGAAGAGTAGACCTTGGGGTATTGGTCACAACGTTGTGCTGTGGAAAAGGAATTTTCTGCGAGGTTGATGTTTTACAAATATTAGGGGCGGGTGCTTGTGTAAATATCGTGCGGACTTACGTAAATTCGTATTTATCGTGTGCATGGTGTGAAGTCACTCTGATATCGTCAACTTTGCGGAGCGCGTAAGAGGAGGCCAAGAGATTAGTTCATTGAAATGGCCAGCGTGCTAATTGGTTTGCAAGGATTCCCGTGTGACACCCTATTATCACCAAACTAAGTTCGAGCGTCATTATTATTTTCTAAACTTGTGCAAAACATTAGCTGTGGGAACCGTGAAACAACGAACCTCCGCTTACATACGTTATAACGTAATTCAAGCCTTGCATTTTAATTTTTTACAAACTCTCAAATTCAAAATTGGGACAGGTACTGTCGATCCATTTTTTTAATTTGCAATCATAAGAATTAATGCTTTTTGGATTGATTGATTTTCATATACCGTACTTTATCTTTTCCTTTCGATACGAACTCTTCTTCATCCGAAATTTTCATACCTTCAACCGGGACCTATTGCGATACGCCTTGGACGAATTCTATCAAGCTTTAAGCGTTTAATCAAAAAAGAAAGGACACCCTCGAATTCTCTATCAGACCCGTGACATTCTTTATTCTACTAAAATTACTGTGGAACTTTGACTGCGTCAGTTTTCGATATCGGAGGATTATATACATGCTCACGGCCAAACACCATCAAAACGGATTCAGAATTAAAATATAGAAATTCGGAAGTCATGAATAATACCTCTGGAGGATCGGATTTTGTGAAAAAGTTATTCAAGTAAGGTCTTTGTAGTCACTTAAAAAAAGAAACACTTTACCAGGAGTCGATCGAGATTTCTGGTAAATGTGTCGTGTCGTGTAAGCAGAAAAAATAAAATCAACACAAACGAATTCACGGGAAGAGGATACTGAAGTTTTTCTTTTCATAGGATGTTGGAGGATGACACTTACAACAATATTGTCTCTTGGGGAGTTAACGGTGATAGTTTCGTGGTGAAGGTGAATAAGAAAAAAAATTTTTTTTTTCCCCGGCGGAGGGAGGATTCTTTCTTTTCGGTTATCGATTTGGGACATAACCATAACTTTCAAATCATGAATAGCAAATAGATGCTTTTACGAAGACAATTCTTCCCCGCCATTTCAAACATTCCAACTTTGCAAGTTTCGTGCGACAACTTAACAAATACGATTTTCATAAAGTCCGAAATTCCGACGATCCGGTTACTCCATACGGAGACCAGGTAAAAAAAAAAAAAAAAAAAAAAAAAAAAATGCACATGCTTCCCTGAACATTCGAAGAATAACTGACGTACTGAACATGTTTTGAACATACATAGGCTTGGGAGTTCTATCACCCTAAATTCCATTGCGACAAGAGAAATCAGTTGGATGATATCAAGGTAGCGCTTGTTGGTTACTTCTTTAATAAGATTCCTTTCTTTCAATTCACCTTCACATCCCTTTTCTAGAGGAAGACTCCATCTAACCGTAGAAACGTACCGATACCTTCGCCAACGGAACTACCCACCAACGTTCATATAACGGAGCTTCAATCACAAATAAACAACCTGACCAAGCTTCAAACCAGCATGAACGATCACCTACACTCTTTGAGCCAGAACTACTATTCTGTCATTCAAGATTTATTAAACTTTCAGAAAAATATGGTCGCCCAGGACCAATTGATGCAAAATTTGGTGCGACATGTGATCAGTCTAGAAGCAGGTTCGATTTCGCACCTTTTTTTATTTTTTTTTTTCAAATTAATCAGTCGGTGATCTTATATGTTTTTGTTCAAAAAAAAAAAAAAAAAAAAAAAGAAAAAAGCGTTATCACAAACCGCCAGGGAAATAAATCCGTCGACGGCGCGAGTACATCGTTTACTCCTTCGGAGCAAACACAAAAATTGATAAATTCATATACCGAAGTTTCTCGAGCTTCATTTGAACAAATGAATGCGATTTCACGTCGCGCCCAATCAATGCACCAGATGGTCAGCGGCGCGGTTGGAGGAAATGGCAATAGTTCGCCGGAGCCTGCAAAGATTTCATTGTCGGAAACGCCAATAGATTACAATGATGGTCCTTCACTGGGAGACGAGAAATTATCGAACTCCAAGGATAATAATAACCTTGGACATTTAGAAGATGCCTACATTCTACCGACCGAGACTTCAAGTATTAGTCCCAGAGTTCAACCACAGACGGATGCATTTCAATTGGCGCTGTCAAATGATTATATGAGGAGCCGGCCTGACCAGATACTCAACGCACAGATGTCAAATGATAGACTGACAGTATTAACCATGGGTCAATTAATGCCACGGCAATCGCAGTCATTGGCATCTAATCTGACACCTTCCGCGAGCACAAACGTAACTTGCGTTAAGAAAACTTCACCCTCACAAGGATCGAACACCATGCGTGTGGTTCGCAACACCTTCGTGCCCAATTGGTCCGTTCCACCCAAAGTACTTTTGGTCGACGATGATGCAGTTTATCAAAGTCTTGGTTCAAAGTTATTACGGATTTTTGGTTGTTCGATAGACATCGCTGTGGATGGTATAAGCGCCGTCGGTAAAATGAACCTTGAAAAATACGACCTTGTATTAATGGTAATTCAGAGGAGTTCTTGATCTCGAGTGAAAAAAATTTTTTTTTTTTTTTTTTTTCTTCCTTTCTGACATACAACCTCGACCATTATTCGAACAATAGGATATCGTCTTACCTAATTTGGATGGTATGTCTTATTAAATTACATTAACCTGTTTACTTTGATCCAAGTGATCAAGTGGTGACCTTTTATCGTGTCATAGGTGTGGAGGCGACAACCCAGATCAGGCGTTTCGACCCCAAAACTCCAATAATCAGCATGACATCAAACATCACAACTCAAGAGTGCATCAAATATCTGTCGCATGGAATGAACGATATTCTTGCCAAACCATTCACAAAAACCATGTTATTGGCGATGTTGGAGAGATACTGCATGCATCTTAAAATAATACCGACCTTTCAGAATATTCCACGGTCACTCGGTGCACTTGATCAGCAGGCGGAAACGATCGCGCCTTCGGAGAATGGCGGTGGAAATAATAATGATCATAATAGTTGGACGTCAGATCGGGTGCACGTCTCGAATGCCCCAACCCTAACAATTATGAGGAGTAACGAAAATTATGTGCAAATGACGAACGAGCTCGCCGTCACCCGCGGCGTGACTCGGTATGCCGAGGAAAGTGAAATTGATAATGGATCTCGTAAAAAGCAGCGATTTGAGTGGATCGAATGACTGCATATCGCATTGATTCCCGTTATCATGTTTTCTTTCTTTCTTTTCTTTTTTTTTTCTAATTTAATGAAAAAACAAACAAAAACTTTTCAAAATCAAGTAGCAATCCCTGTACACTATAACCACTCAACTGTGTCTTATTCTAGATTTAATAAGGCATGCATACATGTTTTTTTTTTCCTATTAAATACCGATATTCCTGACACTTTGTGAGTGCAAATGTTCCTCCACCAACTGCGAATGGTGAAATTATTTCTTGCGATTTCGTAAAAAACCCTTGTATTTTTTATCATGTTTGTTTACGTATCCGAATAGGTGCAATGTTTGTTTGTTTGTTTTTTAGGGAGATTGTTTCCGCGTGCATAAATTATTTTGTTGTGATATTATGTCGATCCTTTTCTTCTTCGATGAGAAGTACATTTGCAAATTCAACGTGCGGGTCTTTCTTACCAACATGATCGATTTTGCAGCTATCATTCATTCATTCATTCATTCATTCATCCATTAATATACATACAGTATGTATGCATGCATATGCGTTTCATTGGGGTTGCGTGTCATCGTCTTCGATTGACAATCGCAGTGAAATGTTTATATTAAATTATCGGTGACTATATTGTAAATGTACTTTTTAAAAAAGTCAATAAATGGGAAAAAAGAAAAAAAAAAAAAGATTCTATCTTATAGATGGATCCATTCGTGCGTGCTGCTCAGATATATCCGGAATATAGGCGATCAACAACATAACGAGCACGGAAAGATCCTTATTCCAAAGTGTATATACACAACCGATTCAAAGCATTACTATTCATCATCTCCTTCGGTTCTCTTCTTATAAAATCGGGGTGCGATGACCCTCAATTGATCAAAAATGTAGTTCCAAAGATCATAGAAAACTCGAATCGATCGTTGCGATTGAGTCATTTTTGAGTCCAAGACTTGAACCTTTTTTATTAATAACATCGTTATCACGGATGATCGGAAGAAAGGAAAAATAGAATGCATGATGGTAAGTTGTGGTAAGTACCTTGAGGCAAAACCGGTTCACCAAATCCTCGGCTTCCTTCAATTTATCCTCCAACACTCCTATTTCATAGTTGAGTTTTCCGCTGTGGTCTTTAATTTGGTTTATTGACTTGGAAACCATTTTCTGTTTTGATAAGACGGCCAGGCCATTCATCTCTGTCGACTAGTGATGAAAGATAATCTCAGAACAGGATCACACCACACCGATGAATGGTTCACCAAAAATTACCTTAAATTTTTCGTATCGAATGTCATAAGCGTTATTTAATTGCTCAATCTGATCATCGTATTCTTTAACGATTGACTAGAAAGAAGATGATTTGGTAGCCAGTAAGAATACGTGGAAAATTAAAGGAACGATAATCGTGATGTTATTATACCTCCAACCGTTCCACTAAACCCTTCAGTGATACCTCCTTTTGTTTGAGATTTTCATAAATCATGTAAGTTTGAATGTCCATGTCAATCGTTCGTCTGCTTGGAAAAACAATTAGTATTGTCGTTATGTTGTGAAAAAATCACTCACTATTGACCACCAATGTATTTACCTAGATAATTCTCGCACCCCCTGTTTTCTAGCCATTTCCAACGTAGCAAATGAATTTGATCTTCTGAGCTCACATATCGAAGATGATGTTGGCTTTTCATATGTACCCACGGAACATGACCTTTCTCGTTTTTGCCAGTCGCACGTTTCATCTTCAGACGAAGACACTGATTCCGCATCCATATCAGGTTGGGCTGAAGCTTCGGTGTCCGTGCTCTCTAAGGGGTCGTGAGATTAAACGAACGAACTCTTACACCAAGAGATCATCAATAAGCTCATTTCACCTACCGTACTCGATCTGCGGAACGGTTAGTAATTTCGAGTTCACGAAGTTACTAAGAGAACAAGCAAGATTAATCACACGATAGTGAAAGATTAATTGGTGGTGACAAAAGCGTCATTCTAACTCACTTCGAGATTGACTGGTCAACTCTGGATTTTCTCCCCTCCGAATTTCTCATTCTTCGCCCAGCGATCCCCGATCGTTTGCGCTTTCCTCGGCCTCGCCAACTCCAGTTGGGAGGCAATGATAGTGATTTTGAGGGGAGGTTAACTATCTTCTCTATTGGGGACCCGCCCCGGTCTACCAAATTTGAAAGGGATCTATGAACAAAAAAGCAATCATCAGTTGTTAATAAAGGCTTTGAAGATCTCGAACGATAAAATTCATACCCAGTAACTCCTCGAACTCCCTCTTTTATTGCACCTCCGGTTTTCGCCTGGACATCAGAAAATATCATAGACATTTTATGTCAGCATCAAATGAATTTGATTCTCTTAAACCTAAAAGTCAAAATGTCTTGCCGTTCGATCCGATACTCCGCGTAAAAAACTTTTTCCCAACTCTCTCCCACCATGAAACCAGTCGGACTCAACCGCCTCCTTTCCTCTCCATAAATATCTCAACCTATCGATTTGTACACTTTTTCCAAACTCTTCTAGGGTAGTGGTTTCAATGTCTGTAAGAGAAGCATGAGCTAAAAAAAGAAAAGAAAAAAAAGAAAAGGAGGCAGATATCAATTATCGAAACCAAGCCAAATGTGATCGAAAATCAAATATAGATAAGGGGTATACCTGATATACCAGAAATATCTCCAATCTTAGACTTTATCACCTGATCATGAAAGGCGGATGTGTTGGAATATCCGTGATTGAAACAAAGGATACTAAATTCAAAAGAAAACCACATACTTTGTGTACTTTCAATCCATCTGAATACTTCGAAGTATTGTAAGCACTTTTTATTTTTTCTATAGTCTGTTGATCCAACTTTCGGGTGACCGTTATTTTTGCCCATTTCTTGAGCGAGTTTCATGAAGTCGGCATAATAAACAAACAAATAAATAAATAAATAACAAATAATAAATAAACGAATGAATAAATAAATGGAGAAATATTATTTAAATATTACGATGGTACGCCAATATGCCCAGAACTCACCTGAAAGGATGCCACTCCGTTGAGAAAAATCTCAGGGTCGGAGAATGGATCTTTTCCAACCTTCAATAAACAATCGTTAGACCATTACTACGAGTTAAACGGAAGGCAAAAGTTTTGATTTTAGAATCAATCGGACCAAAGAATCACCTGATAATTCAAGGAATTTAGTTTATTTCGTGAGTTTACAACCGTTTTTAAGATTGCAACAACGAGATGTGGGTTTAATATGTTGTCCCGTAACTATATATGATTGAATCAAATGAACTCGATTATTTTCACTTCATTACCATTCTCTCGTCACTAAGGGATGTTGCCTACATCTATATTTTGATTGTGTGCCCTACTGAATTTTCTCAGTGCGCTCTCGGTTGAATCGCACAATAAACCATCGACAAAATCCCACGGAAAATCTCCAATTATGTATAACGCTGTTTGAACCACTTTCACCAATTCCAAGACGGCATCCTGGAAAGGTATGTCCTCTGACATTGCGTACAATTGATAAAATTTATCTTTCTGCGCGTCGCTAAATTACATCGATGAGAAAGATATTCATATGTCGGATAGATTTTTTTTTAAAACAAAAAAAAAAAAAAAAAATTCTCCTCACGTCGGTGATTTTAGTGACAAAGCACTTCGTCCGCTGCAACCAATTCTTCGCAAGTTTGAATTCAAATAAAACTCGAGATAATGATCTTCGTAAACTCCGTCCGGTACCAGGACAAGATTTAGAGAAGAGGGAAGTGTGCTCAAATTTGTCACAAAAAATGTTCCTAGGAAGGTCTAACAAGAAGAATTGATTGTAGATGAAAGCTGTATACAAGATGAACGCCCCCCCCTTTACACCTACTTCTTTTGGTCGCGTGCTATCTTCTTCCAGTGCGTTAAATAATTGGTCAAGTTTTTCCGGGTAAGCTTGTGACTTAACCTCCTCGATACGAATAACGCATACTGTGACCTGAATTTAAGTTGAAGATCAGAGAAAAATTTCATGAGAAATCCAAGAGACCGACGAGAAACTATGTTCACCCTGTGAGAAGGAACGCCAGTAAAAACGTTCACTGTGTTATACGGTCTCACTTTTTTATCGCACACCCTTTTTTTTTTAAAGTAATTGCAGGCTTAACATATGGTGACCAAGATGAGCTGAAGTCCGACCATCAGAAGGCAATTTACCATTGTTCAACTATGTAAAGTTGATATCCCTCCAATACTTCTCTGTTGCTGATGACTTGTACACCGCATTCCTTTACCAGGGAATCCAGATTTTTGTGCTCCGGAAATACAAAGACGCCATATCGATCGAAAACCATTTCTTCGTCGCGAATTCAAGACCACAAGTGCGGGGGGTATTTATATGAACATTTCGGATTGATCACGTGATATGTAAGGAGTTAACCCACCGTTACCGTTACCTTGCGTAAAAAAAGAATTACCGTTTTTGCAGACATGGAGTCCATTATCCTCCGCAGCTTGAAACACATATGTAAAATTGATTCGAAAAAAAAAAAAAGTCACCTTGAACATAACTTCCTTGATATTTAGTCTACATGGCCGACGAAGTACTAGTTCAGCAACTTGAGAAGCTACAATTACGCGAAAACTATGCCGAATCCTTAGAAAACTATGAAGTAAACCCAATTGAAGGAATGCAAGGGTGTCATAAGATACTTGTGACCCGTGAGCTTTTGCTACGCATATTCTGCGCATTGCCTGTGCGTGTGGTATTGAAAATGCGGCTGGTATGCCGTCTGTGGGAAACCATCCTACGAGGTAATGATGACTTTCCTCTTCTTTTCGCAAGTATTTATATAAGTATACCTCATTCTTGTCTACATAATAGATGATTACACGTGGCAACAGGTTTTTGAATCCAAGTTCGGAAAGGTTCCCAACTCGTTATTTCTTGATAATCAAACATACAGATCGATATGCATTTTCAAGGAGTATCACGAAACACGTCTTTGGTCCAAAGTTGCTTCTCTCTTCAATGAACCGGCTTCGACAACACTGAATCGATTCAAACTGTTTGGCGAGTTCGCGTCACTAAACAGCTATATGTATGACATTATTGCCACCGGTGTGATCGAAAACGGTGTGGCGATTGCGTTAGTCGGACAACGAAGGTTGGTTCTCGATGAACCGACCGGTATGCGGGTGATCAACGAACGACCCACGCTGTCAAATATGGACTTCAACTTGGTTCCCAATGTAGAAATCAGGGTACGCACATACATATAATCATAATCGTTACTTATGTTTTACAAATTTAAGTCTTTTGGGCATCTAGGTTTACGTGAGACTCATGCCATTTAAAGGTCAAGACCGTTTTGAGATTATTTGTTGCGACAAGCAGTTATTAACAATCTCTCGGGATGATCTGTCCCGAGACGGTGGTTGGATAAAAAATGTAGTTAGAATTCAGCTGGGACGTAAATACTTTATGTATTCTTCGGACATTTCAATGGGCACATGTAAGATATTTTCGTATTACCAGGCGCAATCACTCGGAAATTTCAATGTACACAATCCTCCGTTGACGGAATTGGCCATCTCCCGAAATTTCTTTGTCACATGCACGGAACCTGGAAATTTTCAACTGACCACGCATGCAAGTTCCTGTAAACACATGATCAGATCGACCGACCTTGAAGAAAGGTATAAGTTCGGCATCAACATCGACGATGTGCAAATCAAAAACATAAGTCGGCAATCGTTAAAGGGAAAAATGTCCGCATTTTACATGGATCACAATGATCTCATGATTGCCGGCTATTACAATAACGAAGGAGAGTCTGTATTCCGGGTGTGGGATCTTCGTGGTGTCAGAGAACATGAAAGCTTCGAGACGAGAGAGTACAAAAACATGATCTCTCAATACGAAGGAAAGTTAGAGTCAAAAGCACAAAGTTTTCTGGTACGCTGGAAAGATGACCTTGATGAATATCGAACACCTCTGGATAATGAGTTGGAATATCAATTGAAAGCTTCTCCAGAGATAATAGTAACATGTTCGGGCGGAAATATCGCTATATTTCGACTATTGGACACAATCGGAGGAAAATTAAAGTGTTCATGGAGGATCTCTACCGGATTAACTTTCCTGAAAGTTGTTGATACCCAATTTTGGTCACCAGGTAACCTTCCGTCAAACGGAAATTGGCTGTTTCTGTCAGCGAAAAAAACTATTGGGGACATGAAGGTGCCGGTGGTAGTACAATTACTTCTTTTGCCGTCCACGATGTCTACAGAAAATTCAAACGATACCAACTTTGGATATCTGGATATTGATAATCATAATCCCAACAATAATGAGGACAACGTGCATAAAATGAGACTCCTTACGTACAGACTCTTTACCCAAAAAATCCTACCAACCGCTTCGATCATTCAGGTTATGCCACATCTTCCTCATGCGCTTGTTGTTCTTTGCCTTAGAAAAGAGCCTGACTTTTGCAGACCACGTCCGAGATATAGCCTTATGATATATGATTATCACACCTCCAACATGATCAACAATCTTCATTCATCCTCTCCGTTTATGTTCGTGGTACCAACCGGCTACTTTGTGATGGCACCAAAGCATTCATTTAAAGATGATATTATATACATGCCTTTACCTAGACTTAAATCTCGTGATAGGCAAGTTGTTGGTGCGATGCTGAAACCATCTAGACCGCGATTACAACCGGACGGGATGAACAGGCTAAGAGTTAACCGAGGGGTCGGGAAGAGGATGAAGCAACCCAAGGCAACAAAAATTGATAAAAGAAAACATCGGAGTAGCAAGATACAATTTAGTGTCAGAGACTATAACATTGATTATGATGAACATGACATTGGTGATGAGGAATATGAAAACTTTGATGAATACGATGATGAATACGATGAATACGATGAATACGGCGAATACGAAGAATTCTGATACATAAAATTTGTTAATTTCTTTTTCATGTATTTATTACTTCACCCTAACTAAATTATTTAAGGACAGATGTAAACAATTCAAAAATGAAACTATTTTATTCTGCAAATAATAAAATAAAAATAGAATCGATGTACATTTTTTTTTTTTTACATACTGCACTTAATCATCATTCCTTTGAACTGGCAGCAACGGCAGTCAAGGAATGATTGATGCATGGTTCACGCTTCTGTTATAGATAAATCACAAAGTTTTGATGTTTCGAACGGATCCAGAACCTTTCATTTTTTATTCCTTATTTAATAACTAGCATTATTTTCTAAACTTTATTTCAATCAATGTATGTACTGCATATAAATTGAATGGCAATCTTTTCATTGATCACTCCGATTATCCTTTCAAAACAATATTATATTTTGTAATTGACAGTTATGATATTTCATTAAAAACACCTTGTAAACATATTGCAAAACACCTTTTATATGGTTTATTTTCCCTTGATCCATTATTTGATTTGAACATTGGTTTCAAGTCAAAAGTGATAGGGATAAAAATTGAATTTCTAATAATAAGAAAGAAGATTCCTTTCCATCCTTCTATATTAGATCAAGCAAATCTATTGAATGAGCAATAAAGTTTGGTTTTTTTTGAAAATTTGTTGGATTTCAAATCATTTTATTATATCTAAAAAAGATTTGGTCTATCTTAATTTAATTTTAAATTTTTGATTATATTAAATTTGCTAAGATTTTATCAATTAAAAAGTTTAAAGTTATATAATATAAAATTATCTATAATAAAAAATAAATGTAGAAAGATAAATAATAAAACTCAACTCTGCTTAATTGAATAAATAAAAAACTATAAAAAAAAAAAATAATAATAATAATAAAAAATAAAAATAATAAGATAATTATCTTTAAAGATGAACCGCAAATTTTCTAATACTAAAATTGTGATTTTAAAATTTATATTATATGTATATTATTTAAAAGTAAGATCCAAAAAAATCATATTTGGCATTTTTGTTATTTTTAGAATTAATTATTCAAATAGTATATTATATACTAGTTAAAAAAAAATTATTCATATACTGCCACTTGTATAGCATTTAGCAAAAAAATAATATAAATAAATCGGCAGCTATATAATTTGATTATAAATATTATAAAAATTGATATATTAACAATTCATTAAAAATTCATTAACAATTTATCAAATAATTCATTAAAAGTTTATCATAAAATTATGATTAGCAATTCAATAAAAATTTGACATTAATTTATTAATAATACGTCAAAAATTTATTAATAGTTTATTAATAATTTGACAACTATTCATCAAAATTATTTATTAAAAATTTATTAACTATTTATTAAAAATTTATCAATTATTTATTAGAAATTTGTTAACTATTTATTAAAACTATTTATTAAAAGTTTATTAATTATTTAACATGTGAGTCAATAGTGCAATAAGTGCACTCCCAGGTTATCATCTGTGAGTTATCGATTTAATTTTACTCAAGAATAGTAACATAATATAGGTCATATTGTATAGAATATATGCTTATCAACTACATATGCTTCTGCACATACCTGATCTATCAAATATCATTATCCAATCATGATACAATAAATAGGTCACACAAGTCTTAGTCAGTTTTAATACTAAAACAAAAAAAGCTATGATGCCTGTGCTACTTGAAATATGTAAAGCTATCAAAAGAATATTAGGAATAATAATGATTGCTTCAAGATCCTATCAGTTTAATAAAAAATTCACCTTTTCTCAAATTACTATACTTATAAAAAATATTGGAAGACTTTGGTTATCTGTATCAGCTACAAAAGTTACCAGAGAGATAGGACTAGTTTGATCTTAGATTGTGAAAAAACAAAGTACTTATAATGGAAACTGCAAGGGTAAACATGTTTGAAAGAGACTTAAGGATCTTGTTTGATTAAGGAAAATCTCTATAAGTTATCTTTGAAAAGTGGATAAAAATGATCACTAGAAGACTTAGATCACTACAAGACATACTAATAGTTATTAGGGCTTTACATTAAATTGCATAGAGATTGAAGCATCAAGTAACTTAGCCTCTGAAGAAACTGAATACAACAAGAATGTCATACAAGATTCTAATATACCCTTATTACAAGAACCAAGTATACTCTAAGAAACACATGACAAACAAATATCTCTTGAAACCAAAAATGATAATTCCTATTAAATCCTCAGAATGCTAGGTGCCTAGGTAGAGCAGAGCAGCTGACAAAAATAGTACTCACTTAAGAGATGGATAAAATCAAGTTTTATTGAATAAGAGTAGTATAGTTAAAATAGTTGTAAGTCTAATTTTTTGTTATACTTCTCATAAATTAATAAAGTTTAGTCAATATGACAAATTAAAAAAAAAAAAAGTAACTATTTATTAGCAATAAAGAAAAAAATTGATAAACTTTTATATGAATTTTTTTGAATTGAAGTTATATTTATAAATTATGAATAATACAAACTATAATATAATATATAATTTATAATTTTTTTTTTTTTTTTTAATCCACAGTCAGGTCAGCATGGCTTGTCTTTATTGTATATATATCAGATATTTAAAAATTATTTTGACTTTCACATATTAACTCACTTATTGTTGA